ATGAGAGAGAGAGAGAGAGAGAGAGAGAGAGAGAGAGAGAGAGAGAGAGAGAGAGAAAGAGAGAGCGCGTGGCTCGAAGTGTGACGAGCATAGAGTGGTTAAAACAGTGCCAAAACGGCAATACGCTAATTTATGTCCACGATCGTTGCCGTTAATTCCTTTAAAGTCAACGGACACTTTCGAGACAAATCGTTTGTTAGCCCGTGTTAATCTTTCATGAAACAATCATTCCATTATCGAAGCAATATTGCCCGAATATCGTTTCAAATATTTTGCTTCATTATAGTTATAAGTATTCAGCAGCATGTCTTGAGAAATGCACTTTATTCGGTTATTTGATGCGAATTCGTAGCATCTTGCAAGACATCCTGTACATATGTAAAGTATACAAGAATATGTAAAATATGTTTATACATAATGTTGTAAGTCGCATGCAACAATGTGTCATCAAACCTGTTACACTGCCTATTTATTCTTTATTCGTACAGATCATTTGTATAGATCTTAATGTTAAAGGCACTTATTTTGCGTGCTTAAGCAAAATATAAGTTGGGACATGACACATAGCGAATAAAGAAGGTGAATTGGTTTTTAACTGACAGTATTATGAGTATTATAGAGTTTTCACTTCTCAGAATGTAAGGAAACAGAATAATTGTTAAAAGCAATGGAAACATCTATAGTACTCATGGTAGTCACTGTACCAGAAAAAAGAAATTATTCTCCATGCAAGTGCCTTAAAATTTTGTCAGTATGTAATAAAATTCCTTTTTTTTTTAATGAATTTCTGCCATTCCGTTGTTACTACAGATTATTAGTTCCAATCAACTGTTGTATACCTTTCGTTTAATTTCATTTCTGTGAACAGTCTTACCTTTTATTTACAAATTTTTATTCTAAGTATATTGTATTCTCCTTTTGTCAGTAAAGTTCTTTTCATTGCTATAAACTGTTTCATTATATAGTAGAATTTGATAATAAATAATGTTAATAATAGTTGCTAAGAATAATCTCTGATGACCATGTTATGAAATGTGAGATTTAATGTAGGATGTGATAAGAACATGTTTATTATTTTTTAAGTAATGATCATTTGTATTATGCTTTGAAACCAAAATGACATTAAAAGCAATAACATATAATGTACATTGTATACACAACAGGAATGTATGTATGCTGCGAATTATAAAGATTTTTCAAGATATATTTCTCTCTAATATACTTAACACTAAACATACCGCGACTGGTCTGTCAGTTTTAAAATTTGGTTAAAAATTCTGTCCTTCTTTCGTTCATTTAACTTTATATTAATTCTTATATTTTCCAATTAATCGGTCTTTCAATTTTTGTCTTTCTTTTTGTTTTTTTAACCAGTTATCTGACCGGTTACGGTAGGAATAGATGTATATAAAGTGCTGGTACGTTTAATTATTTGATTATTTAGTTTTAAAACAAAAGATACTAATTGGAAAAAATTAAATTAATATCCGAGTAACATTCACAATTCATAGCATACATACAATATTCTAGAAACATTAATGACAGTATCATGTGTTTCTTTACATTCTAAGAAATGTTTCCATAACTTTGTTATAAATAAATAATTGAGTACTTAAGAATTACTTAGTTTTAAGTGTAAACCAAGCACAAAAAGCCTTGTACAGTTTTTTAATAATTGTTAAATAAATTGTTTTTAAAAAAATAACCATAATGAATATAAAGTTTTATATTATCATTGTTACAAATTACGGAATATATAAATACAACGTATCTTTAATATGATGCAATGTACAAGGCCTTTGTTTGCACTAGATCTTCCGTCAGGGCAATATACTGATTCATATTGAAACTTGCCACACTGTGCTATGCCCTGACACTGTATAGTATCAATAAAAAATAATAAAAAGTACATTTTAACTAATGCTTATTTGAAAGGTTATAAAGACATCTGTTTTTGACTAAATTATTTTTATTGGTTAATATTTTACATCATAAGATTGAAATTTTAATAAAAAGATATATAAAATTATTTATATTAAATGAAAATTGTATTATGTTTAAGATTTTCCTTTTTTAATTCTGATCAAAGTTTTATCTAGAGAAGGTTTGTATGTTAAAAGTTTAGAATACTTTTGTATTAATCTCTTCCAAAATTGTAAAATATTTGTCATTTTTAAATTATTCCATATAAAATCCCTTCCTTGATTTGCAATTTCCTTGGATAATTCGTCATTGTACTTTGCAAATTCTATTATCTCTCTACATACACAAAATCATATTAAAAATTACACATATCATGGAAAAATAGTAAAAATTAAAAATATCTTACTCTAATTCTGATTGATTAGCATCTTTGGAGACAGGTATATAATGAATCCAAGGCACCATTGCATCATAATAAAATTCAGTCCACTCATCCCCAACATGAAATATTAAAGATTTACACAGAAACAAATGTTTGTGCCTAAATGATGCTGCAACACCTTTGAAATTGAACAAATATTTATATTTACAATGAGATTCTAAAGAGACTTCAGCAGCTGGAGGCGCATGTAGTGTGTCCTATAATAAAGTATAAAAAATAATATACTCATATACAATTATACATAAGCATATGAATAAAAACTAATTACTTCATCAGATTTCCATGCTTGATTCTTTGTATATTGAGCATCCACTAACTCTGGTTTACTGCGACTTAGTAATACCAAATTATCCCGCTCTGAACTAGTTCTAGAGCCTCTAAAAAATCCTTTATTTTCTTTTTTTTCCCATGGTATATTTTTGCTAGCTTTCTCTAATGATGTACGATGTTCATCCCATCTACCCAGTCCTCGAGGATATAAAGAAATTGCAGGTCCACCTTCCCAAAATGACCATGCTGGATATGTAATATCATAATATTGTGCAGTCTATAAATATATTTACAATACTCGAAATGTTTGATTATTTCAAAGAATAAATTTTATTCATGCATTTCTTGATTGATAATATAAACATTTTATTTACTTTGCTAAATGAGAAGATAGGCAATGGATCACCAAAATGTTTACTAGTTTGAGGATAATCCCGTGTGTTTATCACTAAATCCACATCTGATAAGTTAGATGCCAATTTTAAAAGGAAGTGCTCTATACCAGCACATCTTGATGGGAACATACAATCCTTTTGTCTATATAGTTTTCCTTGTATTATTTGATAAAATGTTCCCCTAAAGGACACAAAAAATGATGTTTGTAAAAGTTAAATGTGCGATTTAACATGTTCACATACCTATTTTTTGCCGTATTTATTAAATCCTTATTTATACCCTTCTGTTTGAATGGTTTTAAGTCACGTATAATAACATCCTTATAGCATCCATTGTTAGTATTATTACAAGGTTTATAACTTTTTTTTGCTTCTTCAATTGTATAGTGATATTTATGAAATTGTTTATTTAAAGCTGCTTTAAAAAATAAATTTACGAAAGAGATGACAAATTTTTTTCTAAATTATGTATAAATACCTTCAGTATAAATATTAGTTTTCTCTTCCTTGTCACAATCTTTTACTCCGTCAATAGAACAATATTGTTTTTCACAGTAACCTACGTAAAACGCAGCAATTAAGAAAATATAATGTAACGTTGACATAATTCTTTTATAAACACCGGCATGATAGGTCCTGACAAATCTTATATTTGTCAGGTTAATCCTGGTAGAAACTAGAGACATCTATAAGGACGAAAAGTTCAATATATGGAACACCTCATTGAAATCTTAATAGATTTTTAGATTTTTTCTTTTTTGAAATTTTATAAAATTTTATCCACTTGTACTTATTCTTTACTTTATCGAGATGTCAACCATTAATTTTTACTTTTTCTTCAACATTATATTTTACTTATTGTTGCTCATAGTTCATAATTAAATATGCTGCCCCTATATAATATATATTACAAATCACGAAAATATAAAAATTAGAATTTAGTAAATAATAAATATAAAAAAATAAATACAACAAAATATAAGATTTTCAGTTTTTTATTAAATAAAAAATATACATTCATGCCTGATCACCAGTAGGCATAGATTTGATGATGTCGGAATTTCCAGGGTCTGTAATAGAAAGGGTGCATACTCTGAAATATTTTCCGCATGCAGTCCCCAACTCGATGTTGTTTCCCATGTAGTGGTGGACACCAGTTTTTGCCAACATGGCATAATACTCGATCTCTGATTTCCTGTTCAAAAAAAAGTTACAAATTTATAGATTTTAACTTATATACTTAAAGAAAAAGTGTCTCTGCACTTACAAGCAGAGACGTGAGACTACTCCGTAGAACTCCCATTATGAACACATAGATATTAAAAATATAAAATGTATTCAACGTGGTTACAGATCATATATGGTTTAGAGTAGAAATCTGATTCTATCATTTTTTTATCATTTCATTATATTTAAGGGAGTACTACATCTCAGTCTCACCTTAATGGAGGTGTGTTGTTAGCAATGATGACCAATTTTGCTTTGCCTTGCCGAAGGGACTTGAGTGTCTGTTTGTAACCTAGGACACATTTTCCTGACTTCATAACTAAAGCCAATCTGGCATTGATACCATCCTGGGACTTCTTCTGTTGTAATAAAAAGAAAAAATATATGGGTAAACATTTAATAATAAATATTAATATGAATTATTAGAAATAAACACGTAAGGAAATGAGTTTAACACGTGCTTCATAAAGTGGATGAGACACGTGTAATAAGAGAAATTATTTACCTGCTTCTTTTTAGCCACCATTTTATTGGTTAATTAAATATGCGCCTAGAAAAATATTTTCAAAATGTTAAATAGTGTTTTTACTTATTTGTGTAATGTCTTACTATAAAATAATTGAAATATCTCAGCAGTACCTTTTCTACACGCGTACTGCCACGGAACACGCCGGATACGAAAGACCTAAAAATCTCGAAACCAGTTCGAGTTCGAGATTGTCATGAAATACAAATTCTATAGAACTGCACTTCCGCTACAGGAATGATTATGTCAATATAGCCATCGACGAGAAATGAATATCTTCTGAGACTTCGTGTTTGGTAGTCTGAAATACCGATTGTGTAAAAATAGCAGACGTTTTGATATGTCCGGTACGATTAAAAATGGCGAATTTAAGAATTACATACAAACCGGTGATTGAGGTTGACAAATTCGATAAGCGTAAAAAATTTTTTTTGTAAGTTAAAAACATATATACATGCACGTATGTATGTCTCATGGTAGATTTGTTGATTGTCAGCTATTAAGCAGACGATTACGTGTATGGATTAAGACAAAAAAAATAAAAACAAACACGTTTTTATTTATTTATTTATTTATACGTACTTGTACTTTGTTAATAACATTGTTAGTAATATGAGAATAGTAATGATACAAACGAGGTATACGAGGTATGCTGAAAGTTTAAAGTACAAAACTGAGACATCTAGCAACAGAATTGTAATACTAAATGTTTGCTTTCTTTGCCATTTTACCATACTTGATATTAAGAGCTTATTTAATCATAAAGTAAATGCTGTAAGGAAATCACTTGATGGCTAGGTTGAGGAATGTAGATCTAATTGATCGGTTCTTATCTTTTTTACGATGTTAATTTATTATTCATATACGGTTACGCGTAACCAATCAAAACTATAAACGAAACACACAGCGGAAGACCCCTCTTGCCCCTGCGCCCTCACGTTAGGTATCCTGATATCTCCCTACAGTATATAACATGAAACATTGGTTCGTCATGAGTTCGCTTCAGCTATGTAAAATGAATCCATATATGTAAACTTTAGTACTGTAAAAAGTGTAAAAATATATTAATTTCCAATAAAAATAAATATCATTTTATTAATGTTAAAAAATTACTAAGATGTAATTGAAAAAGTTGTACCATTCTTTCATTTTCACCGTTTAAAGTTTAAGAAAACGTTATTTATTATCAGAAATTTTTTATTTAATTCATATTTCTTATTTTAATTATTTACTTGTGAATTCTTATTCATTTTCTATTCATTATGATTTTGTGAATATTCACTTTACGTTTGGAATCAAATCCTGTAATTTTGTGTAAAGTATTTGTAAAATTTATGAATAAATAAACTTATTTCATGTAGAAGTTGAATGAAGAAATAAAAAGGAAAATATATTAAAACGGGAAGAGCATTAAAAAATCAATGAGATCGATAAAGAATAAACGAAAAAGTAAAATGAAGTTGTACAGCTGTAACGTCGTTTCGTAAATATGATAACAGATATAAGCGAATTATTGCAGGTGTTATCGATAGAACTGACGTGTATGTACACATTCTCTCCTTTATCTTTATTTTGTGTAAATGTTAACAAAGTAGTTAATTCTTGTCAGCAACTTCCACGTCTTCGGATTCGTACGTATAAATAATATTAAAAAATTGTTAGCATTAGTTCTCAACTTCAATGTAATTACATTGTATATGTCTATTAAAAACATATGTAATAATTTTATATAAAAAATAACGATTGAGGAAAGAATAACTTCTATTTCAGAATATACATTTTTAATAAAAAATTGTATATATATATATGAAAATTTTATATTATTCACACAAAATATATGTATGAAAATATCTATATAGAGTATTATATTTCATATTTCTGTGTTCTATGTTTCAGAAATATTTTCATAATGGAACTTAAATGTAAAATACAAACTTATGATTGGGGAAGGTATGGGATCGATAGCACTGTCGCAACATTAGTAAAATCTGCTAATTCTGACTTCACATTAGATGAAAAAAAACCATATGCTGAGCTATGGATGGGTATACATCCTAATGGTCCTTCATATGTGAAGGAATTAGATATGTCTTTGGAAAAGTACATTAAAAAAAATAATAATGTGTTAGGTACTGATGTTCAAAAAATATTTGGGGAGCATTTACCATTTCTTTTTAAGGTTTTATCTGTAAACAAAGCGTTATCAATTCAAGCGCATCCAAATAAGGTCTATTTATTGTATTGTTAAATACTGTATTCAGTATTTAATTTAATTGTAGTTTAATGTAAATATTATATTGTATCGTTAAATATTGTATTTATCTATAGGAAAAGGCAAAAGAATTACATCAGCAATATCCTACTATTTACAAAGATGCAAATCATAAACCTGAGCTTGCAATAGCTTTAACACCATTTGAAGCTCTCTGTGGTTTCCGTCCAATTAGTGAGATAAAAGAATTTTTAAAAGTTCTTCCAGAGTTACGTACTGTAATAGGAGAAGATAAAGTATATAAATTTATGGCTACAGACGAAGCAAGTGTTAGCAGAGCTTTGAAAACATGTTTCCACAGTCTTATGACCTGCGATTCTGGTTTAGTAGCATTGCAACTTAGAAAGTTACTTGATAGATTATCTAATTTAGGTACATTTAGTAAATACATATTTATTCGTGTGAAGGTGTGTTCAATAATTATAGTTGATAAAATTCTTTTATTTTAGACGAGTCTTTAAGACAATTTTTACTTGCTAGCTCGCTAGAAAGACTATATTCAAATTATCCAGGAGATGTTGGATGTTTTGGAATTTATATTTTTAATTTTATAACAATGCAACCTGGAGAGGCTATTTATATTGGACCAAATGAACCTCATGCATATCTTTCTGGGGGTAAGTGTTCTGCTATATATTCTACACAACATTTTAATTATAACATATAATTATAAAAATATATTTACAGATTGTGTAGAATGTATGGCATGTTCCGACAATGTAGTACGCGCGGGATTGACTCCTAAATTGAAAGATGTACCAACATTAATTGAAATGTTAACATATAATTGTGAACCCGTTTCGGCAAAAAAATTTCAACCTTCACGCGAGGATGAATGTACAGAAGTATTTCGTCCTCCTGTGTTAGACTTCGCTGTTGCTAAAATTACAGTGAGCCTCTTTATAATAGAACTTTATGTAATTTATTTTTGCTCTTCAATGCATAATATTTACTATGCACATACGTTTTAGATACCTCCAGGAAGATCCTATTACGATATCATTCCTAGAAGTACAGCTAGTATTCTAATTATTATAAATGGAAAGGGTGAGATTTCATCGTCGAAAATTTTGTACCGAGGATCTGTTATATTTATTCCGGCTAATGAGAAAATTGGGATTAAAGTTTTATGCGGATGCCATCCGATGTTAATGTTCCAAGCTTTCGTGAACATTTAAAAAGTTTAGAAAAAGTACTGGGTCATGTTAAAAATTTGACTAATGGTAATAGCAAGATTGCACGTCCGATGATTGCACTTTTAAATGCTTTTAAATTCTTTATTTTCTAAAACAAATACTTATTTATAAGCATTATGTAGCAATAAATTGAGGAGTGCGCGTAGTTGGTCGAACGATCTTCACTCGACCGCCTACGTTGACACTTCAGCGTAGTATAGGGCAGGCTATGAATTAGGGCCTGCATAGAGTGTAAAGCCGTTGGAGGCTCTAATGAAAATCTTGGAAGAAGAAGCCTTTGTTTAGTTAGCTCACGTTGATTCTCCTTGACTCCTACGATACTCTATTTAAATAGAATCTTATATTTCTACTGATAGACTGCAAACATTTCCATAGTAAAGCATTCCACGATTCATATCATAGATACTAGAAAATGAAGTTGATCTACGTGTATAATGTTTCGAATATATACTGCATGAATTAATGCAAATAGCTAAAAGTATTCCTAGATCTACAATTGAAAGCATTTATCATTTGCAATTCCTGCCATGATAAACATACATAGACTTAAGATACGTAATATGTATTACAGAGAATCTTTTGACTCCAATTATTAAAAAGTATTTTTGTATGTTAAGAAAGTTAATAGTTTCTATTTTGGTTCATTTTGAATTTTAAAAAAGTATGTAAAAATAAAATTATGTTAAATATTATTTTCTTATCTTGTATATTATATTACGTAAAAGTTCCTTGTTTTATTATATAATGTGTAACCATCTTAGCAAATCAAGTGCTATAGCATTAAATGCATAAGGTTAAACAATTTCACCTTATGAAAGTAACATTTACAGATGATCATTCTATAATGACTTGTTTATGAGAAAAACTATGTTAATTTATTTTTTAAAATAAATAGAACTTTTGTGTATAAAATATTTTAATGGATTTGTTATTTTTTTATGTACAATCTAGGCAATACTTAAGGTTTTGTAACAATAATGTATTTGAAATTATACACTGCATTTTCTTATGAAGTATAAATATACACTTTATAAATTTACAATTTTCTTTTATATAACAATAAAAGGATTTTTCTGTTAATATGATACAGTAAATTATTTCAACTATAAATCGTATGTGTCTAAAAGAATAAAGGAGTAATTTACTTGTTACAGTTATCATTTCTATTACTTATTAAAACAACACAATAAAATAATTGATTGTATAAAATTCCAAAAATTGTCAGAATTGTATATGTTCTGCACAGCCTTGATTTTAAGATTGTATAAAATATTGTTTTATTTTTACCTATACTTCAACTAATTAAATATATGAGAGATAAATATATACACAAGTACTGTAGATTAGTCATCATCAGAATCATCTTTTTTCTGAGCATTTTCAGAGGCTCTATCTTCATCTTTGTAATGTCGGTATTCTGGTTTCAATTCCCACATATTTCTATGAGGATTCTTTAGATTATAATTGCATACTTCGTTTAATATTTCTTTCAAATATACCTGGAAAATAAAAATTAATATGTAATGCGTATACACGTATAATATATAGACAGTCATGTAGAAAAAACTCACAATTGGTTGTCTTGTAATTTTTACAAGATCTCTTATATTATAATACTGATGCTTTTCAAATGCAGCAAACAACATATCCAATACTGCATCTTTATCATCTCGCATCTTTTTACCCTCTGCTTTCTTCTTTTCTGCGTATTCAATCTATAATCCATACAATTAAGTTAATATGGAAGAAAATATATTATTTCATATATATGTATATCAAATAATATACTCACGTTATGTTTATGATCAGAAACAGGTTTGAAATTTTGAACTACCCTATCTAATTGTTGAACTTGTCTCTGTGGTACAGAAGCTCGTTTAATACTTTGTAATTTCAATTTCATATAACAATTATCAGCTGAAAATAATATAAATACATAAACAATATATTCTTCTATAAATCTTTAAATATGGTGAAATAAAATCTGTACCATATGGTCGACATTCTAATTTTTGCACTATCCTCCCTTCCATGTAAAGTTTCTCTGTTTCAGGAACAATGGAGTCTGAATTGTTCGATGCTGCAAAAAGATATATAATTGATAAATACATTTTGAAATAAAGAAGATATTAAAAATAAATTTTAGTAACTTACGCGTGACATGAGAAAATACACCTAACATTTGTTTTGTTACAGTCGTAACATCTAATCTATGTTGTTTAGGGATTTCTTCTTCCCCTGGCTCTTTTAAAGCTAAAACAGCCTCTGATAATTTAAGAGATACTTCTGCCTTTTGACCAGGATTCCTAATATAAATTATACATAGAAAGTTGAATGTTTACATAAAATTAATAAAATTTAATCAAGCAGTTCCAAAATTAAAACCTACTTAGTTATCTTTAATTTGCCCACTTCTATATTGCCAGGCGCTTTCTCCCATTTGTTAGCTATGTATTTGGGCACTTTAACTAACCACACACCTCTGCCAGCATTGCTTAAATCTAATTCCTTTTCCGTATGCGAAAGATTTGCTGACATCGTATCTTTTATAATAAGTATGTTGTCTGAGAAATGTAGGTACTGTATTTGTAAAATGAATAAAGCTATCGTTTGTAACACTTGGTATGTTTATATTTCATAAGTTTCTATCCTACAGAAATACATTTAACGAACGTTGAATAACGAATTGTAATTGTTATAATCCAAAGAATAACGGTTAAAGCAATTATTTAATATAAGAAATTAATTTCTGTTGTTATGTCTGCATATCTTTGACATTTACGTCGCACTTGCCCTTGCACTTCCAAGAGAGTCAAACTTTTCGTTTCACTCTTTTACGGAAAAGAAATCAACGGATTTAAAGCAATGATCAAAAATTTTCAAGATTGATTCGATGGTTAAATTCCACTATAGAACCAAAGAACAAATTGAAATTGCAATTCTTTCCATCTTCGTATGTTCAATATTATCCAATATTTTAATATTGAATAGTATGTATACTGCTTTGATTAATGACGATATATATATAACAATATCATGCATTAATACTTATCTAATATTTAGATAAATAAGTACTTTTAAACGTTTAAGTAAATACACAACAATAAACGTGATCAAAAGTATTCATGATGCCAACTTAAAATATACACCCGTGTTATATAGTACTAGTGTAGAGGTGTTTAACTTTAGTTCTAACAGTTCAATATATATAGTGTTGAATCAAATAGGTAAAAGTAGGTATGGAGAAGGTAACTTCTCGCGAGGGGAGTGTCACTAGAGTGCCTGCGGACAACGATTTAGCATCGTTGACTAGTGAAATCCTGATGCTACCTAGTGTCAAGTTGTAACATTAATAATTGGATGTGATAAGTAGATAGGTAAGTACGCAGTCTTAGAAATTGTTCAGTACAGATTTAACCATATCAGTGTCACTGACCAATTATTTCAGAAAGTAAACATTTCAAAGTGCAATATATATTAATAACAAAATATAATCGGAATATTAATTTAAGGTTCATTTTTGAAGTTATGTATTAGATTTTAAGAAATTCGTGGTATTAATAATTTGAAAAATGCATACCGTATTCGTAATTGTAATTTCACATATTTTGTGTAATGTATTTTATACAGCTTCACGATAGAATGTTATTTTTGTTTATAAATTAATAGTGTTTCAAGTTATTCAAATGTTATTTCAATTTAATAAAAACATACTTTTAAACAGTCTATCAAAACTGAGATTTTTGTAAAAAATCTAACCTATGTATCAATAATTCTTAGAATAAATTTTGGGCTTCATTAAATTTATAAGAAACGATCATTTAAAAATTATCAAAATAATTTGTATTACTTATTTCTTCAGATATTAGAATGGCATCTACGTGTATGATCATACGTCGTCAGATCTCGACTTCGTCCGTTTGCTATGGCAAGCGAAATTTTCGAAAATTTCTGTTATACAATAAGCGAGGCAGTCGTGCTTTTAAAGAAGCACAAAAGAAAAATCCGGATCCTCATATTCCAATTGATAGTAAGATTTTTCTTTAAGTCATAAATTATTATAAATGTCCTTAAATAGCAATGTATTTATAAAATGTAAATAAGTGATATATAGTTTAAACTGTGTTTAATTAATTCATTTCAGAAAGAGGCGTAAGAGACACAGGCATAAAAGTAGGAGATAAATTTGTTAATATACCAGAAATGATACCAGAACTTATTGTACCTTCACTAAAGGATTTTCCTTTAAAACCATATGTCTCTTATCAAACTGAAGATGTTATACGCAAAGAATTTACAGCTAAAGATTTATTTAATCTAGTATATGCAGAAAAAATTAAAAAAGACTTTGAAACTAATCAATTAGGACCAAATGGTGAACCATTAAATCCTAATGAATATGAAAAATTAACACCTGAGGATGCTAAAATGTTGGCTGATCAAACTGGTACAGATATTTTTACCGAATACAAATATTGCCCTAAATGGTAAACATTATTGTATTTATTGTAAATATAAGTTAGAACAAAGAAATGGAAAAAAAGGAAAATTTCTGGAATTTGAATAACCTTAATATCCTATAAACATAGAAGTAGCATTTCATTTTGCAGTCTGCATATGGTTTTATTCAATATTTTCGTACACGCAATGTATACACTTGCTGACAATTTTGCAGTTGATAAATAGTAATTATTTACTATTACATGTGACAGCAAGAAAACAATAAAACAAATAATTTATTGCAAATGTAAAAACAGACATTTCGGTTAGTAAGTTTTTTCTACTTCTCGTTCATTTTGTATTACCCAATCTTAATACAATATATTAGAACAAGTCCTTATTCAGGAGTAAGCAATTACTTTGCAAAGTACTTGCTCATGTAATAGATCAACATGTTGCTGAAAAATATGTCATTGTTTTGACAAAAGTAATTTTTAAAATAAATTTTATTGGAAGTAAAGCGGTGTTTTTAGAATTTATTGTAAAATAAATGTATGCATTAATCACCGAGCATTATAAATTTTTCGAACGATGCCTA